CCGGCCCACGCTGCGCCTGGGCTGGGACTGGTCCTGCCGGCGCAGGGTAGCAGGAAACTCTCCGCACACTCACCGGACCTGGGCTAGGACTGCGTCTGTGGGCTCGTGCCATCTTATTTTATTTATTTTTTTTGCGGTACCAGGGATTGAACTCAGGCCCTTGTGCTTGCCAGGGAAGCACTTATTCTACTGAGCCATCTTCCTGGCCCCTGTATTTGTTTTTTATATTTTAGCATGAGTAATCCACAATTAAGAATTTGAAATTGTAGAAATCAGTTATAATTCCTTCCTATTGTGTTAGGCCTAGAGTAACATCTGAGGTGAACAGTTTAAGTATCTTCACTTTAAAGTAAAACTTTCTGACGGACTCCATTAACCGCTTGGCATTCAGAATGTTTCTCTGATTCATATCTACTTGCAGAGGTATTATTTGCTTCGGGTAGACAATGAAGTGTATGAATATCTGACTGGAATTTCTTTGCCTTTTAGTTGTTACGCTATATGCCACCCTAGGAGGACCAGCCATTGTTCACGGGTTAAATGAAACAGAGGTGACCAACATTATCACCAGTAAAGAACTCTTACAAACAAAGTTGAAGGTGAGGACTGCAATTTATAGTTGTCTGACACCTGAGAGTTTTTACTGTGATTTACCTTATTACTGATAGTTTTCACATATATTTCATGTAAATTAATATATTTCAGATATATTCCTATTCAGACAGACCAAAATTACTTTTAACGTTAAAAAAAAGTCTATTTTTTTAGACAGGGTCTTGCTGGGTAGTTGAGGCTGGCCTCTAAGTCCTAGTGATTTTCCTGCCTCTTCCTCCTGAGCTCTAGGATAACAGGTGTGCACCGCCATGCCCACCACATTTTAAAATTCTTTTTTTCTTTTTTCTTTTTCTGTATTTAGGGTCTATAGGGTCTCACTACATAGATAGGACTTGTAGTGATTCTCCTGTTCTCAGCCTCCTAAGTGCTGGGATTAAAGGCACGCAACACCGTGCCCAGTCTCGTCACCATCTCAGCATGCCCCATGAGTGGGGCTAAAATTCTGAAATAAGACTTACTCTATCGCAGAAGCTGCCCTGGAGCTGGCTGTCCTCTAGCCTCAGCTTCCCAGATGGTGGGTGTGTGCCACCACACCTGGCAGATTTACCAGCTGTTAATATGCTGGCATTTAAACTGAAGGGCATACAGCTTTTGCTTTTATTGTGCTGATCTATTTTCTGGTTTATTTTAAATAAAAAAATTTTTTTTCAAGGTAATAATCCTCTGAAAACAGTAATATCAGGATTGTTTTTTCCTCTCAGAGTTTTCATTGAGTTATCTTCCTTGTGTCCTATGTTGTTGGCTTCCTGAAAGGATGACTGTAGTTTAGGGAGCTTGATCTTCATACCCATTTTATAAGGAAACTATTTTTTATTAGGGTGTTATGACACAAGTGTGTGCAGCAAATGTAGTGCTATAAAAGAGTAAGTTAAAATCAGACCCAAATTCCCACATCTCGGGAAAGTAGTCTGTTCATCAGTGCATCTTCCCCCTTGTCACTTTGAGTCAAGCAATTACTTTTAAGTCACTGCATATGGTGTGCTACTTTGAGTTCCCAGCTACTCACCAAACTACTTGAAGAATAACAAATTGATACTTATTTCTGCAGGACATAGTTTCCCTGGTTCCGCGCTTGCGCCACATCATCACTGTTGACGGGAAGCCACCAACCTGGTCAGAGTTCCCCAAGGGCATTGTTGTGCACACCATGGCCACTGTGCAGGCCCTGGGAGCAAAGGCCAGCTCAGGTATGTCTCGTGTTCCTCCGTCCTCTGAGCCCCTGCAGGATGACTCCAGTGACTCCATCCTGAAGTTGCTGTCTAGACTGTCAGCTGGGGGAGTGGGCTCTCCCAGAAGCACTTTTATTCAGACTTTCAATAAAGTACTTTAGGAAAAATGCCCGCATTAACACATTAATGTACTAAAAAGTATTACTTGTTGGAAATTAATTTAAAATACTTTTTTCTTTATTTTTTTGAGGTACTGGGGATTGAACTCAGGTCCTTGAGCTTGCCAGGCAAGCGCTGCTTCTACCTAGCTATCTCTCCAGCCTTAAAATACTTTTTTCTTTAGTAACATTTTCTTCTTTTTCCTTTTTTTTCTGATAGTTTTAGCTAGCTTAGCTTTATAAATGGTGCCAATAAATTTATCCATGTCAATTATTGTAAATATTAACAGGTAAGAATAGCTAAATCTCAAGCCCTTCTTTATTAATCCCTGTTCCAACTGTTACCTTTTCCAGGGGAGACAACTTTTTCCCTCTAGTTAGCATACCTTGGAATGGTGATCCTGGAAGTCAGGACTGTCCTGTAAGCATTAGTGTGTACAGGTGCTGTGAGGCACTGTAGAAGGCTGGGATGCTGGGACTGTGTATCCTCTCAGCTGGAAGTTTGGTGGTTAGTGATTGTGAACATTTGTGTTTTTTTTTTTAGCGCCAGGATTGTGCTGACATTGCTTGTGTGACTGGCATTGCATTAATTTTAGGTTGAATTTTACATGCTGGTGGAGCGCTGCAGTGGCGATAGCTTGTGGACTGCAGCACATGCAAATCTTGTACTCCTGAGTTAAGTTTGGAGTTGTGAGACTTGGAAGCTAGAGACAGATTTCATTATAACTGGAAGGGAGGTCATCCTCAGGATTGTGGCCTCAGCTGTGGTCAGAGAGGAAGGAAGAAAGCATGTGATGTGTGGTGAGGAGAGTGGGCGAGTCATTGGCAGGATGGGTGTGTGGAGAGGTCAAGTGACAGCTTGTAAGGATCACTGTAGGCAGATGTCATCTTAGAAAGGGCAGGGTCCTAGAATTGGTGGGGAGTGGTGCTCCAGGCTAAAGAAATGAATGGCAGATTCAGAAATAAGGGCTTGAATGAAAACAGGTCACAAGAATTCTGTCCAAAGGAGTAGGAAAGAAAGGGGCAATTCTCTTGGAAGCATTTTCAAAAGATATTTCTAACAAGTTCCCATGTAAGACAGTTCTGAGGTCCAGCCACATCAGTGAGGTCTCTCTGCTTTGCGCCTCTTCAGCATGTGGCCTGTCGTCCTGGAGCTTTAGTCTCATGACTGCAAGTGGGTGACAGCATCGCTTGACTGGACCTGGAGCATACCAACTGAACTTCACCAATGCAAAACAGTGTTTTAGCAAATAGCTAGAAACCCTGGGCCACACCTCTTTTATTTCTTAGTTGAATTTCTAGCTTAGTCTTTTGTCTCTAATTCTTGTAGAGCCACACAGCAGCCAGTCATCCTTGTCATGGCTGAGGATGTGCTCCATTCAAGACAGTGCTTTTCTTCTGTGGCTCTGTGTATGGTTCTGGGTGCTGTGTCACCATCATCTCCTGTTTCTCTTGCCTACTGCACTCCCACCACTCTCCTCGCTGATCTTCACATATCAAGCACATTCCTAGCTGAGGGCCCTGGCACTCAAACTTACACATCTTTTTTCCTAGTCACAAGTTGTCATGATTCCCTCTTTCACTTTATTCAGGTCTTTGCAAATATGACTACAGACTCTAGAGTGTTTTCCATCTAAATAATACCCACTATCATGATCTCACCTTGTCTTTATTTTTCTTCATGGCTTGTATTCTATTATGGTCTTAGCTGTCACAGTAGCTAAGTGTGTTGAGTACTCTTTGAGTACTCTTGTTAACTTACACAAGAGAGTATAAAAATACTGGTGATGTGACTGAATTTCTCAGAAGCATTTTTCTTCTCTTCAATATAGAAAATGAACCTCAGAGCAAACCGTTGTCCTCAGATATTGCAGTAATCATGTATACAAGTGGGTCCACGGGAATTCCCAAAGGAGTCATGATCTCACACAGTAACATCATCGCTGGGATAACTGGGATGGCGAGGAGGATTCCTAAAGTGGGGTACGTGCTAGTGGGAACACCCAGCCGTCCAGTGTTTACATCTGTCGCTGTAATGTTAACGGTTATGCCATGTCCACCGTATATGGTTGTTATTCTTTGAGTCTGTGTAGACATTTCCTTGAAAAAGGACATAATGGAATCAGATGCTATTTAATTTTGTTCTTCCATAGCTAATTTATTTTATTTTATTTTTGCTAATTTTTTTATGTATATGCTTTAATGATTTTTTCTTTATAATTAGTTTTAGACAATTTTATTTTTATGTATCTTGGTATGATTTTATTCAAATTTCTTGTGAAAAAGGTTCATTTTTCTTAGAAATGTGATGCTATAATTTGAACTAAATTCAGAAATTTTAAACCTTTAAGTATTTATTGCCTATCCCTTTGTACTTTGAGAATTCTAATTATATGAATATAAGTTTCTTGAATTTGGCACAGAGTGAACTATTATATGACTGACGCGTAAATTCTTTCTTCATTTTTATTTTGGACAATTTTTATTGTTATATTCATTTGAGTTTGTAAATAATTTACTTAAAATGCGCAATCTATTAATCTTATGCTATGTATTCATTTCAGGAATATTTCTGTAAAATTCAAAAATATATTAACTTTTTCATCTTAAAAGGACATTAATTACAAAATAGTTATAAATTATATTTACCTTTTTAAAACTAATTTTATTGAGAAACATAGTAATGAGACAGTTTCAAAACCGATTACTAGCAGTTTTGATAATTAATATATTGCATATTGTTGTCTTAGTGGTTATTCATTGTACAAGATGCAGACATGATATCCTGTCCACAAACACTATTAGAACAAATTTCTCTATTCATTGAATTAAGAGAATGCAGCTGTACATCTGTTCTATTTTGAATATACAGATACAAAATGGTCGTTCATTTGTATCCCCTTTTTTGTTTAGTTTTGTCAAGGAAGGGCATTTTTGTCATTTAAATATTGTAGGTGCGTGAATTCAGCAAAATATTCCAATATAGCCCAGTAGTCCATAATAGTAGATTTTCCATAAGACTGGCAATGTCAGAAGTTGTTGACTTGAGCCTTTCACAGCTCCACATATTAATATGGCTTTTTATACTTCATTTTTATACTTTTTTGCTGGATAGTTAAGACCAAGATAAAGCAAGACCTGTATAACAAGAAATGT